ATGCGTACTTGGTATGTCTAACACTTTGGTTAATGGTGGTACAGCACACTCAGCTTTGTTTTTTAACACACAAAGTCTCTCGACACAGATAACTGCAGAGACGACATGACCTGTGTGAAGGAGGAGATTTTTGGCCCTGTCATGTCCGTTTTGCCTTTTGACACGGAGGAAGAAGTGATCAAGAGAGCCAACAACACCACCTTTGGACTGGCCTCTGGGGTCTTCACCAGGTCAGTTTGTTGTGAGTCAGCAGTGTGGTGCAACTGTTGACGGCTTGCTCTTTTAAGATAATGAGTTTATTGCCTTCTGTTGGCTGTGGCTCAAGGTCTTCACAGTGCGGCCAATTCAGTGCACAGTAGCAATTTCAAGTTGCATACCGACTGCTTTTCTCTGTATAAAAGTCGGTTCTTTTCCTCCTCCTACAGGGACATTTCTCGAGCCCATCGCGTGGCTGAGAACCTGGAGGCAGGGACCTGCTTTATCAACAATTACAACATCAGCCCTGTAGAGGTGCCGTTTGGAGGATACAAGATGTCGGGTAAGATGCTGTCAGCTTTTCATGGTCTGGGTAAATGCTGCATTTGCTCAGTAAATTAACCAGTTCTCTCCTGATCCCTGCAGGCTTTGGCAGAGAGAACGGCCAGGTGACCATCGAGTACTACTCCCAGCTGAAGACTGTAGTGGTGGAAATGGGTGACGTCGAAAGCCTCTTCTAAAGTTTTACACCGCTGTGCCAGAACTGTGACTAGAGCTCTTCACTTCTCCCTTGTTACTGTGTTAGGCTGACACATAATTAATGCAGAATGTGTGGAACATGATGTAAACAAGCATAGATGCAGAGCACTCCCCCCCAGTATTCAGTACTTCATTATTACATCAGTAAGTGAAGGATAGCTGGATTTAAAAGTTGGGGTTTTCTAAGGAAACACAAGTGTGCAACGATGGAACCAGCTTTAGAGGAAGACTTCTTTGTACTGTTGTTTGGACAGCTGCTCCTTTGTATCAAAATAAACTTGTAGAAGCAAATTCTTTTTCTTTGTTGCTTGTGAGGTGAATGCTATACTACGGTGGCCCTGAGATGCCAAACGGACTGCAACTTAAGAAAACACTAGCAATAAGAAAAACGCTGCAAAAGCACACAAAACACAATGGAAATGGGGAAAAAACTGATTTTTCCAAAAGCACAAGGGAAGTGTGTTTGGGGAGACAATAACCTG